TATTTTTTTATAAGATATTGTAATAATTGTTCATTACGCATATTTATTTATATGATTATTTGTTAGGATTATGAGTGATTATTTGTAGACGTTGCATACAAGTTGTTGTATACAATAACCTGGAGAAATTTATTGTGGATGTGGTTGTGTTTTAGGATGATGATTATACAGGAATAGAGCATAGGAGGGGATGACTACTTTCCTGTTTCCTCGTACAAACAAAGTTATGCTGAAGCGATATACCCCTTCTGGAGACGTGATGTTGACCTTCCTTTAGCTGTCAATGGTCCTCATGATTACCAGTGTAAATGTGGTAGTCTGAAAACGAAAATGATTGTTTCAAGAAGGGGGAATGTGTTCAGGATGATGAAGTGTAGCCGATGTAACCAGTGTGGGAATCACAACAAGGAAACGTGCACAAGGATTATTTGTATTTGAGTTAATGCTATAGGATACTATAGATGAATACAGTATATCATAGCATACTATATAGTTCAATATTGAGATATTGAATATGAGATTGGTTTAAGTATTTTGAAATCATCTTCCAGTACTGTATTCTCCCAGGGATGGTTCACTTTTATCATTCATTGCGCAAATACAAAGTATCTTCAGTAATCTGTAGGATACCATAGATGAATACATTATATTATAGTATAGTTCAACATTTGTGATATTGAATACGAGTCTGTGTACAACAATCTTTACTTGGTACATTCATTTTTCTGTGAAGTAGTGAATGAAACCAAATGTATAAAAAAACTATGTTGAACTATGACCAAAGGTACTTATACAAAATAAAAACAATAATATATAAATAAGACATAATGTCAACAGCGACCAACTTGTTTCGAATATTTTACCCAAACACTAGAGTTAATAACCATAATTATGTTTACACGCCAACAATACAAATGTCATTTTTCCAAACGGAGTTGCGTACACAAGACAAAACAAAATGAGACTACTGTATTGCTCAATTGATCTTGTAATTCAAAAGATGTTCTACACTGTTCCTTCTCATATCTGTAATATCATCATCTGCTTCTTTGATATCCAATGGCATCTGAAGAAAATATTCCCTAATGATGTAGAGCACCATTACACCACAATCGTTGGAACCAACTTTCTATTGTTTGACTAATTTCAACCGTCAACGGTTTGTCGATTGGAATCTCTGATAGCCCCGTTACTTTTGCAGTTTTTTCCACATATGTTTTATGCGTTTTATTTATAGAATTTAAAATATCAGTGTATGTAATTCGAAGGAAGTCACGGTAGACGTCAAGTTATACTTGAATTGAGATATGTAACCACCTTTATTTCACGTTCTTCACGCAACATTCATGGCCTCTCCTGCATATTTAACGAACCATATTTACTTGTCATGAAAGTTAAATGTGTGGGTGAAGATAAAAAAAAAAGTACACATACCACTCAATGGTATAATCAGTAGCTTTTTATTAAGAAATTTGAATATTTCTAATTGATAGACAAACATAGACTATCACAGTACCCATAGAATACCACAGTACTACATTGATTATACAGATAATTACATATGCATATAGAGCTCATATACACCCTCCATTAACAGTAAACTTACAAATTAGCTAAACATGTAGCTATATATCATCTCTGTCACATTGTGGGTGCACAAAATGTGTATATTTGTTCACATTACCAATTGATGCCAGTTAGGTGATGCACCATTTGGAGGCAAGCTATATCAATTACCTAGACAATCATATAATATCAATTGTTTTATAGGTCAGCAACATCGGTCAGCAAAAAAGAATGAATCACACAACAACATGACTACAAAAAATTATATACAATTGGCAGTTTATAGACTACTATAGAAATACATGTATCAATCCATAAATTGCCATACAAATAGAATTGTCAGTCTACAGGCTACCATAGAAATATAGAGTCTATGTACAACAACTAGCAATAATCACACAATTCAGAACATTAACAAAATATACAACGACACTCACACATCAAAACAAAAAAATGCAGAATACATACTACGATTACCAAATAACGAATTACAAAATAAAATCACAAAAATATTTTACGCGCCCAGACATTTTTTGTTGTGGGTGGAATTCATAGTTACCCAAAGATTTAGGCAAAAGCAAACAACAAAATATATATGTGTTGAATCGTACCAAGATCAAGCGCATTTATGTCATGCTGCCCCTTCATCCGCATCTCCCCTGCTTATTTGATTTTGTAAGAACCCTAATTTTTTATTTTAAATAAAATCAAACAAAACCAAAACTGACTTGATATGTTACTTGTAATAGATATCCATAGGAGTAAACGATGCCTGACAATTTGATTTTTTATGCTGCTATGAGGGTGCTCGCCGCCGATGTGTAGTAGAGAACGAGAGAAACGAGACCCTAATCTGGGGGAGTGGCGGGCAGGGTTGGATTATGATACGGTTAATGTGTGATTTGGGAAAATAGGATCTTATAGATTACTAATGGCGAGATTGGTGGAATTTAATTTCACCTTGCCAAATAACAAAATAAACGGCGTTAATATCACCTTAAGGGTATTATAGGCACAATTTCACAAAAGGATATGAGGTAAATGATTTTATAGACTTGGGTGTAGCATCTTATAAGTTTTCCCACTAGGGATGCATATCTTAAAGCCCCTTAAAATTATGCTAACCATAAATCTATATAGTTGAAAAACGAAGTGTAAAATATTATAATTGTTATATAAAAAAATGTTTAATAAATTAGTAATTTTCATATTCATTGTTATTAATATAAAAATTCCACTAATAATAAATATATATAATAAATTTTGAAAAATACAAAAAACAATACGGTACAACCTTTGTTCTTTAAAAGAAAGATTGAATTTTGAAATTTTTTGAAGTTTGATGTTTGAAAAATTTGTCAAGTCTCAGATACTATTTTCATTTATAAATACCTCCAACCCAATCTTCATCAATTCACTCTCACAACTTTCATTTTATTTAGTATATTTCTCAATGTCGTGCTCCTTTCAATTTTTCTAACAATGTTCCTAAGAAGTTCTTCTATTTAGTTTGACAAAATACAACTCACATCCGGATAAATCCAAAAAAAAAAATGCAAATATTGCACAGTAATTACATTTATTCATGATATATTTTCTAAAATATTTATTGCATACTATTTTTTTAATAGAAATAATACAAATTTTAATTCACAATTGATTATGGTTCATTACTACTGTATGTACAAGAGAAACGTCAGATTGTATTTGTCTCCCCTCAAGCTCAAATGCTACCGTTGACCGAAAATATGTTTAAATATATGTATATTGAGAGATACACTGAGTAAATCTACACTCTCGTATAATATCTTGCAAACAATATGAGAGGTGCAAACCACACTAAACTAACCATATGTGATAAGCTCGACCTAGCAACCGTTGGCAATATGATTCGAACTTTGGTCAGTTGACACTAAGCTCTTTGACTTCAACCGATAGACCATCCCTTAACAAACCAGATCCATCCTTTTTAAAAAAAGCTAGAAGGGTTTCTCTCTAGTCGCCCCTATAAAAATAGTAAAAAAAAGAAAAGAGTAAATTTAAACTAAAAATATTGAAAGTGAAGATAGAATAATATATATCGGTGTAAAAAATAGATGACGTGAGAGAATTTCCTTTTACTGCAAGCCTATCACTCAAAAAAAAAGACAAAAAAATATGCTAATGAATTTTGTTTGTTGGGCCGTTTTGCTTGGGATAGAGTTTTTAACGTGCTATTAAAATTCAAAAACTTTAATAAACCAAAAAAACCACCATTTAAAAAAATGTGTTAAAACCTAATTCTAATAGGTCTCGTAATTTTAGAAAAAAAAAACACAACTAGCGAAATCCTATCTGATGTTTCTATCAATTGATATAAATTTCATAAAACTTTCCTAAAGTAGCAAAAAATGAATTTTAGGAGTCAAACGATGTCG